GTTTTTTATATAAATAATTTAATTATTAACTACATATATTTTGTAAAAACAAGCTCATTTACCTCATTTTCTGGTTTACTTCCTAACCCTAGACATGTGTCCATTAGTTCAGACAAGAATTCTTTAGGTTTCCTCAAAGTCCAACTTGGATTTGAGATGAACAAACGTAAATAAACTCCACCAACCACAACTTCAGATGGATTTGCTGCGTGATTCAAAACATTTGAATCAGGTAACTTCCAAATTGCATGAGGATTCTGCTGTTGTAATTTGTAATGCCTGATTGAAAAAAATATAGATTTAATAAACCCAAATAAATTAAGTTGTTTTATCTGCTTACTTGTTTTTAAAATCAGCAACTAATTTAGTAACCCGCAGTCTTGCATCATCATCCCAGATTAATTCAGGGTTTTCATGAATTGTTTCAAACATGTGGACACATGCTTGTGGAGAATCCCTCATTGCGTCAGCAAAAACAGGAGGAAGAAAACGACCAAGTGCTAATCGCACCTAAAAATTACAATAAGTAAATTTGTTCAATCAAATCAAATACTTTGTAGCTTCAAATAAAAAAAAATATTACCTTTGGTCCATTCAACTTATCTGCCCCCATTTGAGCCAACAGTTCTGCTGACATCTCACGAATTTGAGGCACGTTAGAATTACAAAACAGATCTAATAAATATAGGACGGCTCCTAAAAAATTATATGTTGTTGACAAAACAGATTAAACCAGAAATTTATCAAAGTTACCTTTAGCCAAGGCTTCTTTAACTAATTTAGGAGTAGACAGCAAAGCATGAAGAATTTCTAAGCAAGTCATTTGACTAACTGTCAAAGATAACAAAGCTAGAAGCAGATGGCCAAGCACTTCACTTGCTGCAATATCCTTAACACATTCCTGATTTTTAGTAGTGAGAGATATCAGTTCCAATACGCTTTGCTGAATAGGTTTTACTTGACTCATACTTAAAATGTTAAAAAACAATCTAAAATGCCCAATGCATTGAATTTCCACACCGGCATTGTTTTGAAGAACATTTTTCAATGAATCTAGTGCGGCAACCATATCCTTTAATATAGTTTCAGCCCTGCTGGATGCATCACTTTCGTTACCTTGATTTTGCATTTGGGTTTGCAAATTACCCAGTTGCTGATAACTTCGATTTAAAAAATCTAGTAAATCAATAGCAAAACCTTTTGGATTAATCACAGTAAAAGTAGGTTGCTCATTGTATATCCGAATAAATATGCCTCCAATAACCAACTCATCTTTATGAGCTTCATATTTAAAATCAACTGCAGTGCACAAGTCATCCGGGCCAGCTTTGCTGTGAATCCTGGTATCTAAAAACTCATTCAACTCAGCCCTTGTGCTATTGTCCCATATTAAATATGGATTCATGCAATTGCTATTCAATATTTTTAACAACTCCTCGGGTTCATCATTTTTGAGCATGTCGGCTAAATATTGAGTTAATATGCTGTTGTAAATATTCCTAGCAACACTGTTCAAAGGACTTTCCTTCTCCCCTTTCATATAGCCCCAATTCGAGCAAGAGATTCCACGGACAATTTTGCCAATCGATTTTTAATCTCCTAATTAAAATAATTATTCACAAGAATAGAAATTGACAATATTAATTCAAACAAATCAAATATAAATTCCGGAATCAAAATAATGAAACCTAATTTGCAAAATAATAAAAACCGTAATGCAAATTAAAAATTTATAAATTGAAAAAATAGCAAACAATGAATGTGACTACTTCATAATTATTTGCACATCAAGAAATGTAAACTTAGAAAAAAGATCACAAATCATAGTTAATGGTTATATATATATATATATATATATATATATATATATATATATATGTGTGTGTATGTGTGTGTATGTGTATGTGTGTGTGTGTGTATGTATGTGTGTGCGTGCGTGCGTGTGTGAGTGTGTGTGTAGTTCAGAATCAGAAAAGGTTAAAATATATGTGTAAATGCATAGATAAAGTACTATGCAAATTGTAAAAATAGCATGCCGCACAACTATTCTCAAAAGAAACTTTCAAAAATTAATAAGGTACAAGGTAATATAAGGTATACAATATTTATAAATTCTACAATTTACGCATCAAAGAAACATAAAACTTCAATTTTCATAAAATTACATAGAAAAATGTTGAATTAATTATCATTACCTGTTGATTAGATTCTTCTGTCCTTTCAACACCACCTTCTTCAAGTGTGAAATCATATTGAAACAGAAATAATAACAAATGCCAAAGTACACCTTTGTGCAGCAATTGCATTTGCAAATGACTATCCTCCGATAAAGCGCTTATGCATTCAGTTGCAACCGCACATAATTTTGATAAATGCTAAAAAATAACCCTGACTTCAGTAATGAAATGTTGAAATATAATATTCATATTTTACCTTGAAACATAAAATTCTCGATAAATCGATCACCAGTTGCTCCATTTCCACCATTTTGTTACGACAATTATCAAACTTTGCTGCTACAGAAAAGCAACGTGTGATGTTCATACAAACTTGAACACTAATTTCGTTTGGTTTGGATGAATTATTTAATACTGATACACAACGAGTGAATGCTTGGAGCAACACCTATAAAATATAATAAATTGAAAATGTAGAATTGAACACAATTCATTGTGGGTTCAATGTCAGTTCGGAAGAATGTATGATTTTCACAAACCAATATATAAGAAATAAAATATATAAGCCCACGAACTATTTATATATATATATATATATATATATATATATATATATTAATTGTTTAATATGAACAAAACAGCACTCAGATTTGTTTAACACAACTTTATTTTATGATTACAGACGTTTCGAGACCATGGTGTGTCTCATCTTCAGTGTAATTTCAAAAACAGTTACTTATATACTACACATTCTTTAACAATTTATTTAAATTTCATTTAATTTTTGGTATACAAAAAACACCAACTATTCCTTGCAATGCTTGACACAGTACTAAAGAAACATATAACACTTACAGAAATATTCTAAACAAATTTGAAGTACTTATCTAGATGGAGACAGAGAGGGTATCATTATAATGTAAACAAAAGGAGTGCTATCGCATACAAAAATCGATAAAAATGAAAAAACAAATTAATTTATTGAAAAGAATAAGATAAATGAAAAAATTTATAAATTATTAATGATGTTTATATAAGTGTCATGTAAAATATTTGTGTCGGTTCTTAGATTTATGCTATTGTTAGTCCGAACTATTAACATTGATTCTGCCATGCTCCGTTTAAATAAGTCTTTCTCATGGAATAAAATTTGGGGATTGTCAAAATCAAACTTATGGTTGTTGATATTAGCATGATCCACAAGTGTACTTTTAAATTTTTTGTTATCTATTTTTTCACATTGTAATTCATGTTGCCTGAGTCTCTTTTCTAAGTTCTGGCAGGTCTGGCCAATATAAGAGCAATTACAATCCAAACAATTTACTTTATAAACTATATCTTTCTTTTTTGTTAATGGAGTTTCATCTTTAATTTTGGAATATAAAAATTTTAATTGTTTTAATGGAGAAAAAGTAATACGAATATTGTGTTTTTTGAAAAGTCTTTTTGATAATTGGTTAAAATTATTGTCAAGATATGGAAAATTAATGAAAAAAGTTTTTTCAGGAACACTTGTTTTTCCAGGCTCTTCCGGTTTCTTATCAAAAGGTTCAAGTAATTTTGCGACTCCGGAAGAGCCTGGAAGAACAAGTGTTCCTGAAAAAACTTTTTTCATTAATTTTCCATATCTTGACAATAATTTTAACCAATTATCAAAAAGACTTTTCAAAAAACACAATATTCGTATTACTTTTTCTCCATTAACCCTTTCGACTCGGGAGCCGGATTGCCAGTCGGTACGCTGCGCTCGGAATATTATAGTGCTATACTTATCTCTCAACTCGGAATTTTTTTTTGTATCGAATTTTTTCAAAATGTGGTTATATTGCTTTTAAATATAGTTATTATGATAATAAAATAGAAAATTTTGAAAATTAAAAAAAAATGCACTCAAAACCATGCTATATTCTTTAAAAAATCATTTCTTCACAGATCTTTATTAGAATTATGGGGATCATGAGCTAATAAATAAATTTTGTTATATATTTATTTATAAAATTAATAAATCAATCAATAATTGAATGTAATAGTAAATTAATTTAAAAAAAAAAAAAAAAATTAAATGTAAGTTTAGTTTGCGACGAGTCGTCGCCGACACGATTTGCCGCCGGAGCGGCGGCATCCGAGCTTAACGGTAAAACATAGCATGCCGCCGGTGCGGCGGCATCCGAGCGCAACGGTAAAATGACTATGCCGCCGGAGCGGCGGCATCCGAGTCGAAAGGGTTAAAACAATTGAAAGATATAGTTTATAAAGTAAATTGTTTGGATTGTAATTGCTCTCATATTGGCCAGACCTGCCAGAACTTAGAAAAGAGATTCAGGCAACATGAATTACAATGTGAAAAAATAGATAACAAAAAATTTAAAAGTACACTTGTGGATCATGCTAATATCAACAACCATAAGTTTGATTTTGACAATCCCCAAATTTTATTCCATGAGAAAGACTTATTTAAACGGAGCATGGCAGAATCAATGTTAATAGTTCGGACTAACAATAGCATAAATCTAAGAACCGACACAAATATTTTACATGACACTTATATAAACATCATTAATAATTTATAAATTTTTTCATTTATCTTATTCTTTTCAATAAATTAATTTGTTTTTTCATTTTTATCGATTTTGTATGCGATAGCACTCCTTTTGTTTACATTATAATGATACCCTCTCTGTCTCCATCTATATAAGTACTTCAAATTTGTTTAGAATATTTCTGTAAGTGTTATATGTTTCTTTAGTACTGTGTCAAGCATTGCAAGGAATAGGTGGTGTTTTTTGTATACCAAAAATTAAATGAAATTTAAATAAATTATTAAAGAATGTGTAGTATATAAGTAACTGTTTTTGAAATTACACTGAAGATGAGACACACCATGGTCTCGAAACGTCTGTAATCATAAAATAAAGTTGTGTTAAACAAATCTGAGTGCTGTTTTGTTCATATTAAACAATTAATATTCGTTCCACTCATATCATAAAATTCTATATATATATATATATATATATATATATATATATATATATATATATATATATATATATATGTTGAAAGTGTTTAAATTTGAGGTTGGAATGTATGATTAATTTCTTGGAGGGCCTAACATCAAGTAAAAAATATAAATAAAGATTTTTTAAAACATCTTTATTTTTCCATACGTTTCGACGTAAAATTCTACGTCATCGTCAGTGGTTTTGAATTTCTTAGATTATCACTTACACATATTAATACAGCTTGTAAAAAATTAATAATTGGAAACAAGCACCAATAGTCAGTAATTTCTTTTTTTATAAAGTAATTGATAAATAAAATATTATACGTAAGTACTCGTGTATCTGAGGCCAATGCCAAACAAGAATAATAAAAGTATTATTTTTATTAGATAGTAGTATGGCGTGGTGTGTTAAATTTATTATTGTTACTATTTTCATTTTAAGAGGGTGGTATGAGTCGTAATTTATGCAGCGTCGAGAGCTAGTTGGTTTCTGGTACCAGTTAGTAATTAGTTGATGGTGATTTGTATGTATTAGTCTGATGTCTAGAAAGCTAATCGAAATAGATGCTAGCCGAAATGTATGGATTTTAAATAAATAAATTTCTAAAAACTCTCATACTATTTTTATTGACTTTTTAACTTAAATTAAACATATTATATAAACATGAAATTCAAGACTATTCAATATATATATATATATATATATATATATATATATATATATATATATATATATATATATATATATATATATATATATATATATATATGTAAAACAAGTGTGTTGAGTCAGGCACCAAGTCAAAAAAAAAACAAACAATTAGGAGATTAGTTTTATTAATCCATACGTTTCTGTCTTCATCGAGACCGTCATTCAGTGGAAAACTAAAGTTTTTTTTATAATTAGTTCAGAAAAGAAAATTGATTATGTTGTATATTGGACTTAAAGACAGGTACTTATAGACAAAAACAAATAAACACTACACTACACTAATTAACACGATTGTAACACCAAGCTATCAGTAGTTCAAACATTTAAAAATAATTATCAATTAGAGTTAAAAAACTAAATTGTGTACATAGTTGCTGAAGTCTAAGTGCAGAATGCATTGTGTTTACAAAGAATTTTTAAAAAATGTGCAAACTGGTAAAAACATATGGTTTCGGAAAGCAATAAAAAAGGGACACGCTTCATTCAGTTATATATATCGTTTGAAAAATGGTAGAGAAATATCTTGTAATCATTACAGAGCAAATAGCTGTCAAGTCTCTTGTTGATTGCTTTATTGTTTAACAATATAAGACAACCTTTTAAATATATTGGTTTCAAAATGTAATATACTCGGGTTTCGAAAATCAATGTTATGCTGAAGGTTATTTATATGTTCTGTGAGCATTGTTTTATTCTGATTCGTATTTTTTGAATTATTTCTGTTTCGGCAATGTAAAACCCTTTAATTTAATAAACAATGTTAAAGGAGTGTTATCTGAGGTAAAGAGTAATCTAATATTCTGTTTAAGGGGGTCTTCCTATGTGATGAGTTGAAAAAATTGATTTTTTTTTTATTTCATATTTCGGTAGATTATACCTTTAAAAATAACATATTAAAATTTCAAATCGATATCTCAAATAGTTTTTGAGTTACAGCCATTTAAAAAGTATACATATAGTATATAGTACAACGATCATTTTATCTTTAAACGCGTTTTTCTCAAAACTGTGTTTTTCAAACTTGTCTCCATTGTATCTCAGAAACGGCTGGACCGAATTACTTGAAATTTACAGGGCACATTCAATATATTTAAGCGCATGGAATGATCTATTATCAATCAAAAATTTCAAAACTTCGATTTTTTATAGCAAAAAAAACAAAAAAAAAACGCCTAATTTGCAACTTTTATTTCAAAGTCTATAAAACATCCAATTTTTTTTGTATTCATTTGATTGTAGTTCATTCCGTGCTTTTAAGCCTACAAATTAAAACGCCGTTTATTTTTTTTTGGTCAGATAAGCCGATCAGCCGGAATCGTGGAGACAGTGGGAGCTCTTTTTTTTGAGGGGGGGGGGGGTGTTTAGAGCGCTGTAACTCTAGTTGGACTAAATTTTTTTAGCTGAAATTTTATATTTATACTGTCCAAATATGTATTAATAAATGATAAAAAACTTGAAGCTCTAACTATTTACTGATCGTAGAAAAAACTTTCTAAAATATCCCTAAAAAACAGGCCGTCACATAGGAAGACCCCCTTAATGAAGAGTTTTTCCATGCGTAGTAAAGATCGTTTTAAAAAGTAAGGTAATAGTTCCTACGTAATTTTCGCGGTTTAGATTTTCAGTTGATATGTTATGGGGGGTTTTGGAAGTATAAAATTCTGTTTCTGGTTATGGATTGGATCAAATGTTGAGGATAAGAATTTTTACTTAAGGGGGGCGATACATGTAACAAGAAAAAAAAAACGATTTTTTTTTCATAAATCGTTACAATAACATCTCAAAAATATGCCTGTAAATATTCAAAACAAAATTATCATTATTTATACAATAAAAATTCATTTAAGTGCCACGCCTCAACTCGACGCTTGAGTGTTATTGTACTCTTATCTGTTTCTGTGTCAAAACTTTAAACGCTTTTTTCTCAAAACGACATTTTTGAAATTTGCGGGCGGGATAACTCAAAAAGTTCTCAACCGATTCCAATCTTTCAGATCTTTCTAAAAGCAAATTTTCAAAAATCAACAATTTTTGTAATTGAACCATTTTCCGTAGGACTTTAACCTCTTGCCCGGGAATAACGTGTGTGGCTCGTGACGATGTACAAGTGCCATCTCGGACAATAACGAGCTATGCACGTAACCATTTGCAAGAATTTTGTTTGGGCATTGCAATTTAAATTATCTCTTTTGGCACTGTCCAAGCTAGATTAATTTCCCGGTGAAGGGGCTAATGGTTTAGTATGTTCATTAAAACCAAGTACTCTATCGTTATACCAAGTAAATCGTCTAATTTTAATTTTAACAGACGTCAAAAAAAAACTACTCATTTTCTCAACATTTGATGAATTTTTAAAATTAAACTACATGTCGCAAGGCCGTAATATTTCAGTAAGACCATGATATATATCGCCAAAAAAACTTCCATAAAAATCGGCTTAATTTTTTTTTCAACAATTAATTACAAGAAAACGGGTCGGTAGATTTTCACCTAAAACTAATCAGTATCATTCGCAACTAATATCTTTCGAACAGTTTTTGATTTTTTAAAATCGATTCGGTAGAATAAGCTTAAATGTGGACGAAAAGTTTAACACTTTTTTCCAAATTACAAAGAAACGGCTCGGCAGATCGTCTTACAAAACTGACAAATGATAATCCTCATTGAGATACATCAAATGGTTTTTAAATTTCTGAAATCGGTTCAAGCGTTTTTGAGCAAGCGTCGATGAAAGGTCTAACTTTGACAAATACCAAAAAAACGATACTGATTTTTGCAAATTTTGACGAGTTGTCGTAGTATTTTAGTATGATGGGCCGTAATATTTTAGTATGATCTAGAAGACTATGGTATCTACTGTCAAAAAATAATAGAAATCGTCAAAAAAAATTTTTTCAATACTTTATTACAAGAAAACGGTCCGGTCGATCTCAACCAAAAACTCATCAGCACGATGCCCAACCAATATCTTTCAAATTAATTATATCTTCAAATTATCAAAATCGATTCAGAACTGCGAGCTAAAACGTGGACGAAAAATTTTGCACTTTTCTCTACTATTTACAGAGAAACGGCTTGGCTGATCGTCGCGCAAAATTGATAAATGCTAGGCCTCATCGCGATACATCGAATGGCTTTTAAATTTTTGAAATCGGTCCAGCGTTTTTGAGGAAACGTCGATTTACGGCAAAAAATCTGTTCACACACACACAAATTTGATCTCATTTCATTCAAAATGGCTGAAACGTAGAGAAAACATAAAACTGGCGAATCCATTTTTTTATGAAAACAAGCTTCTCCTTCGGGAAGTTTGTAACTAAATAAATAACTATAGAAACAAATGAAAAAATAATGGATTGTTCCAAATTTCAACAAACGCCAAGCAATAACTGCGCAACCAATCAATGTTATGCATTCTAAGCCATCAATAATAAAGAAATATTACCTCTAAGCCATTTTCTCTCCTCAATTCTTCTGCATTAAGTGCCGAACAATGCACAGTATGATAGCACAGTTCGCTAGCAGCTGACAACAGAGGTTCGGTCTTTGCAAACAGCTGTTCATCTGCTGTTTCTAGCTTAATAGTTTTAATTAATTGTGGATAACCAGCATATTTATATGGTTGTAACACTGAAATAAAATATTTCATTAAGTATTGTGCATGTTGTAAAAATATGCCATGAATCATAAGATACCTTCTGAATATCTATGAAATAAAATACTTTGCGCTCTGAGTATTAATACAATGTTGTCAGGATTTGGTCCATTACCAGTCCATATAGATCGACTGCATAAGAATTCATATGCTTTGCTGACTTCTTCAAAACGAACCTGAAATTTAAAGACGTCTTATACAATAATACATTAACGACAAAAACTAATTGCAAAATATGTTCATATATTTCAAATTCTATTATTAAACATTTATTCCAATAAAATTACGTTTTAAGTACAAATTATGTTGATTACCCTTCCATTAGGATTTTTGTCCGGATGAAACTGTTGAGCCAATTTATAATAAGCTTTTCGAACAGTGGATTCATCTGGTACACCAGAGAACAATAAGCCTAAACTGGCATAGGCCTCTTCAACAGTCATAGCTGGTGGTTTCTTCTCTACTTCCTTTCTCCAAGCATCTAAGACATCTTTTAATAATTTAACCTGTGACATGAAAAAATATTGTGAGTAGAACAAATAAAATGTAATATATAGGTTATGTAGAATAAAGAGGATAAAAAGCAAGTTTATAAATGAGAAACCACCTCAAAGAGTTGAAAGAAAAACACTAGCTAAACACAGTTAAGTTAAAAATAATATTGTAACTGCCAATTAATCATTTGATATATTCATTCTATTTATTTTCGGAAAAACTGCATCAACATTTATATATTTCAAATGTTTAAAGCTTTATGTACATTGGTTAAAAGTCTTTGTAAAATGATGATACCGTCCAGTATCATAAAGAAATATAAATTTATTACTTACTGGTTCTGGTATAGGCCAATCAGGAAATTTAACAGTATCACACAAATGTCTGAGGTAAAATACATTACAGAACAATTCCTTCTCCAATTGTGGATACCGAATAGCAGGAATGGCAACGTAAGGATAACGTGCCATCGTGTGGCTGCGTAACCTGGGCGTGAAATCTGCTATGTGAGCAGCCACTTTTTCTATCAATGTTCGCCTGAAATTTAGAATAATACAATAGTTGTAAGACGTACTTCGCCTCGAAGAAAAGTTACACAAACTTTCTGATATGTGTAAATAATCAATTTAATCAATATTAATTAGATTTGTACATGATGCACCTGTAGTGTATAACAGTCTACCTGTCCACCTGACTCATTGTATACTGATCCACCTACCTAGTCTACCTGCCTGTTTCCCTACCTGTCCATCTCTGTATCTGTCCACCTGTCTATCATTGTACCTGTCTACCTGACTCTGTGAACCCGTCTACTTTTCTACAAGTCTAGGTCTACCTTTTTATCTTTCAATCTGTTCACCTGATTATTTGATAACCTGCTTATCCGTCTAAATTCCTGCATGCCTATCCATCTACATGTCTTTACATGCCTACCATTCTACCTGCCTACCTGTCTTTAAGTCTACCAGTAAATCTACTTATATATGAAACAATGATAATTATCATTTTTGGCCACCCAGTATCGATTTTTTTAACGTTCATTTTACTCCAGTCAATGGAGCGTTTTGGGTCTGAATTTTTTTTACTGTGCTCCGATTTGCATAAAATTTTGGAATTAGGTTCATCTTACCCTCAAGTTCAAAAGTGAAAACAATTCGGACTCCGCCACCACCCCCCGGGGGGATGACAGCCCTTCACAGCTGTGTAATTTCATTTTTCCAAAATAACGTCAGATATCGATAAAAGAACTAATTATAAGAAAAAATGCCTTTTAAAGTTTTTCTAAAAAACTAATACTTTTCAAGTTACTGGCCAATAAAAATTCATAAATTTTTGGTGTTTTTTTTTGCAAATATCTCCTAAAACATACATTTTAACGAAAATCATGTAATAAACAAAATAATGTCAATAAAAATCTTGATAAATCGGTGTTTTATAAAGTATTCTAGAAACTAGTGGGGTGGGTGGCATCGTGCCTTAAGGCAAATTGCTGAAACTTCCCGTACCGTAACGAAATGTTCGAGGAATATTGAATGTTTTCAAATAGATTATTATAAATATTGTAACATTGTCTAATATTTATAAGAATTATATAAACTGAATTGCAGAGTTGAAATTATTTGTTTAAAGTATATTAGAACTATAGTCAGAATTAAAAATAAAATCTGAATTAAAAAAAAAATGGTACAAAAATTTTTTTTTCCAAAATCAATTATTTTGTTAAGACAAGCAGAAAGTTCTTTGAATCAATTGAATCGGACGCTTAGTTCTCTCAAAAACTGCCATTTTTTGTACATTTAGCTCTGTATCTCCGTAATGGCTGGGCCTGCCTTTGCGAAAAACTAATAACCCCTTCTCCCAATCATTACTTATTGAATGTTTTTTAGATCATTCAAATCGGATGCTCCGTTCTCTCAAAAACTCGATTTCTATTTTCTGCACTCTTGCGGTTGATCCGTACGCCCGAAAACGTGGGCGAAAATTTGTATCCATACATACATACACACTCACACACATACGCACACACACACACACATCCATTTTTTCTGAGGTATGCCAAAACGTTCAGAAACCTTCAAAACGTCGAGAAATGTAAAAATTTTCAATTCCGATTTCCGGCCCATTACGATAACTTACCCTACGGGAAGTTAATAATATTATGCTAGATTTGAAAGAGCAAAGTCATTTTATAGACTTTAGATTTAATTTTATAGAGCAAAGATTTAATTGCTCTTTTCGTTCAAGATTTAATTGTTGTATTTAAAGCCATCTAGCGGCGAGGTTTTACATTTTATTCAATTCAGTGAAATTGGGTTTTATAGTGCTCAACATATGCTTAAAAGTGAGTGCTGTTACAAGCTTTTTGTGTGTAAAATGAGTGAGCTATCATGCAAATAAGAAGCATGTTTTTTTTGCTTTTAAATCATATGGTTTAATGAGCGCCATTTCCACCAAAATTGAAGTTATTCATATTCCATCTTTCTAGAATTCACTTCATTATAGAGATCTTGATGGATTTTAGCAAGATTCACTACTTTAGTACAAACTATTTTCACAGATTTTATATTTTTTGGAATTAATTGGCTTAACGTATATCTTGGAAAGGGGGGGGGGGGGGGCAACCACAAATTTTTGTATTATTATGTTGATCATAATAATACAAAATTATTATTATGATATATTATATTATAATATAATATATATTATATATTATATTAATAACTGTTTTTAATCAAGGGTAGTTTTAAGAGTTGAACAAATTGTGGATATGGTAATTATTTTTGAGAAATTGAAATAACATTCAAATCATTTTGAATTTCTTAATTTTCTTTCAATTTCAAAATATTTTTTCAAACAATTTTTCATCAGGGGTTGTTTTCAAGGTTTTAAAAAGGGTTAAAAATTTGATAATAAAATTAGGGATTGTTTGATGTGTTTTAGGGTTTTCACGGGATTGAAAATGATTTTATTGCAAGGTAAATGTATTAAAAATATTTTTTAATTGTATCCTTTAATATTAAAAACGTTTTCTAGCTCAATGTTCACTTATTCATTAAGGTATCGTAACCCTCCAGTCGATGAAAGTTTGTATCCAGATAAAACCCGCATGCACACACATACATACATTAATTTTTTCTAAAATATTCCGAAATTATCAGAAGACCTTGGAACGTATAAAAATTTTCATTTGCGCAATGTAGTATCTATGCATTTAATTTGAACCAAACTTTGTCATGTGATAAGTAAATTTTTATTTCAAAAGTAGTAAAAACCAATCTTCTCATTTTGAGTACCATAACATTTTATGGATTTCATATTGCTTTTTGAAAATTATGCAACACAAAGTATATAGTATACTAATGTTTAATGAATTTCTTTCCTATAACATCTAACGAGTGTGAGTCACAATAACCTAAGTTTTCAATTTAAACTAGGAGAATTATCTTTGGAATATATGAATTTGAAATATATCAAAAAGCAAAACAACAAATGACATGCAAGACTAAAAACCATAAAAGAAAGTATAGAAAGTAAATGAATATTATACCAACCTCATTTCCGCATTCCAAATAGCTTCAGGCGTATCATATTCACCTAAGAATATTTGTGCAAATTTTTCAGCACCATGATTTTCTAAATAACTGACCATAGCCTCCGGAAGCAATTGGCCTAGGATGCTCCTTTGCATTATATCTGAGCAATTTGTCTGAAAAGTAGAATAAATTTAAAAATAATAAATAGTGTTTAATTAATAAAAAACATTTAAAACAATCACAATAAAATAAATTTTAAACCTTAGATATTCACAAAATTAGTGTTTAAAAATATATAGACATTTTTAGTTATTTCAAAGCCTTTACACTTACGTCATCTGGCCTAAAGGCTTGTTTCAAATGAGTCAACTGCAAAAATTTAGCTATTGGTAACACATTGCTCCCAGTGTACATCAGAATAAAAAAGAATACACCAGTCAAATATAACTTTGATATTTCCGGATTATCTTTCATCACTTCATATAACAAAGTGGCTACACGTTCCACTAATGTAGGATCAAATGTGAGAAGCAACTGCACCACATGCGCTAACGTAAATGGTTCGGCTAATAATCTTTTTATTCGAGGTATTGGCCTGATAATTGCATCATCGGAATCACTAGAAATGATATACAATTTTTTAACATCTTAGTCAATTAATTAATATAAAGTTAAAAAAAAAAGTGCATCTAACCGGCTTGGAAAAAATTTACAGCACCGAATCAGAATATCAAGTATCAATGCAGATAATTGAGATTCATTTAAAATTGGACTTCCTTTAGCTACGAGACACCATTTCAGTTGAGGTATCTGCATCAGAGTTCTCCATCCATCCATGCCCATTGCCCAGCAACGGCTTCGAGGAGTTAGGGGGGTATTGTCAGTATTCCAGAGGTTTTTTATCTAAAAAAAAATTATATATATTTATATATATATATATATATATATATATATATATATATATATATATCGATGGTTTTCTGACGCAACCTCGTAACTCGATTTTTGACGATTTTGAGTTTTAATCGGAAAATCAATCACTAAATATAGACGCATAGATCTGTGAAGTTTTGTAAAAAAGAATCAACCAAACGTTTTTTATTGAGAAGTTGTCCAGTTTATTCATATATTTTGTCATTCAAATACGAATAACGAAAGTTACAGTATTTACAATAATCTATTTGTAATCATTTATTACTCCTCGATTCTATTTAATTACGGAACGGGAAGTTCCACCAATTTGCTTAAAGACACGATGCCATGCACCACTAGTTATATTTTTATTATGTTGAGAACAAATATCACAGTAAGCAACAAAAATTAAACAATTCTTACTGACAATAAATGAAATTAAATTTTGTATTTTTTAGAGTTAGATAATGTGTCATCCGCAGATAAAAAATCATTAAATAAAGAAATAATAACAAAAAAAGAATAAAAGTAACAATAAAAATTATAATCACAAAGTAGTAAATTATAAATCCATGAAAGAGCTAAATATCCTAGATATTGAAATATCTAAACTATGGCCAGATACTATATTGTCGTAATTATAAACTAACATATACCGTAAGTTTAATAATGTTTGTTTTTTTATTAAGAATTATTTAAAAAATTGATCGATTCTCAAAATAAAACAATTGAAAAAAGTTATTCATGCACTCTTATTTGAAAACAGCATGACGCAACCACGTATGTTACATTTTTTTCCGTGCGACAAACACGTATCTCAAAGAATTGAAGAAAAAATAATGATTAATTGTTTGTAATATCATACTTGTCTCAAATAATTGGCACAAGATATATATATATATATATATATATATATATATATATCTATATATATTGAATGCATTAAAATTACCTCATGAAAACTAATTGGTCCAATTCGAACTGGGTCACCCCTAATATCAGTATTGTAATACCATTCTTTTTCCTGTAATTTCTCCATATCGGGACCAGCCTCAATAATATTGCTCTGACTAGGTACAACTGCTCGAACAGTGTGCAAATGAGCTAATGTCAGAAGATCTACTAAAATTCTTATACCACTAGCATCCAAAATGTCACGAACGTTATGCTGATGGAGAACCAGTTTATTGATGAACATCAAAAGGAGGTCACGTTCTGCTCTTTCTGTACACTAAAACAATAAACAAATCAATATAAATCATAGTACACTTTATTAAATATCAATTGTTTTAATACACTATATATAATAAGGGACCGATTCTGCCGCAATGTTATGATAAGTTCATGTTATGAAGAATTTTCCATAGTAATATAGACAAAAGTTATGCGGTTGGTGTTCAGTCAGGCGAATTTCTCAGGTTTTCTCATACAAAACATAACCTAAAAGCCGCACAAATGTCAAAAAAACGATGTTAGATAAGTGTGTGTTTCTGATTCCTCTTAGGTAAGATACGAGTGACGTTGCAGTTTATGTTTAAAACGCCGGAATGAACAGCAAATACATGATATTTTGACAGCATTCAGTATGATTAATTCGCATAATGTATGGGGAGTCGGAGAGTAACATAGCCATCCCGTAACATTTCTCTGTTATGCGCAGAATCGGTCCATAAATCTCAAAAATTATCGACAATATTATAAGGTTTAAAGGTTAAATATCTAGTATTACATTCGCAAATTGCTAAACCTAAGCTAAAGTAGTAATGATACAAGTATTGTCCCAAAACTACTATTTCCGGAGATGTTGTGATGTTTTTTTTTAAGTAATTCGAGGATGCTGATTCCGAAAACAGTAACAAATTTGCTAACAGCTCTAGTTTTTGAGATAAGCCAAAATGGTAGTTTTACCTCAAATTACAATAAAAAATACAACATATATTTCATTTCATCAAAAAGTCTTTTTATCTGATTTTCGAACATGAACGAAGACCTGACTGATTTTGTCATAAGCTCCAACAATTGTCAGTCATCATGTGGAAGTTTCACTTTACTTGATATCGCTCCCCCTAAATCCTGATGTCTTGGATACTCTCGCCCTGCTTTTCGCTAACATCTCCAAAACTTGCCTGAATTTATTTCATTGGTTTACCACACAGAAGAAAAAATCGTCGTGGCGATTCTGAGGTTTTTTCTAAATGATGCTGGTATTAAAATTATAGCATTTCTTTTTTCTTCTTGATAATAACAAACACAACTACGCAATTTTTTCACATAGTATGAACTGGTTGAAATACGTTTTTCCGGTATTTGTCGAATTATGCACACAACGTCTTAGAGTCGAAGCCATGCCGAAAACAGCTGATAAAACTCTTATTTATTCGTTAAACTGCAATAATCATAGCCAAAATGACTAATTGGGGTAATCTCCTAAAACTCAAAAACTGGAACTGTTACGTTAAAAACAGAAGGTATATTTGAAATCAGCACGCAATTCTAAGTAAGGTTTAAAAACAAAAGTTTGAGGAAAAAAATAAAAGTGCCATCTTTGCCCGCCCGAGATTTACCAAAAACTGATCAGCATAATTCCCAACCAATATCTTTCAATCGGTTTTTAAATTTTTATAATCGATTCAGGATTGGGGGCGAAGACGTTGAAGAACAACTTTGCACTTTTTTGGTAATTACAAGGAACAGCTCAGCTAGTCGTCGGTTTTTAAATTTTTGAAATCGGTTCAGCCGTTTATTGGAGCAAACTCGATGCAAGGTCAAAAATCGGCTCACATACGTACGTAAGCATGCTTGCACGCATACACACACACGCACTCACATACTTTTTCCAGAGTTAGTCTCATTCGATTTACAGTAACATGAAACGACGAGAAAATATAAAATTAGTAAAATAATTTTCTGGCGAAAAAAATTTCTTTGGGAGTTAAATAAGTAGGTTTTGTTTTGTTTTAATATAATATAAATATTTTATGAAAAGCCACATAGTTTGATTAAGAGTCATGCCTTTAAATATGTAATAAATTTCACAAAACATTGGATTTGACTAGAATTTTATTATTATTATGTAAGAACTAAATAATGTTGTATAAAACCAAATGATATACTTACACGATCTAACATTTGAATCATATACTTAGTATCACTAAAAGGTCCTATATCTTCATAATACTTCCCATAAACTATTGACATAGCTTTAAGGCACATACAGCGCATTTCAACTTTTGGTGAACACAATAAACGGTGATAGAGATCATTGAAAAATTCATATCTATTAAAAAGATAGATTTCATGTTAATTATATAACATAACAAAGATAAAGAAATTTTAAAAATTAAGTCTGGCAAATGAGACGGGGTCACAGTTTTGACCTTAATATAAAATCTCAATTTAGATTAATAGTACTATACAATTAAAATGTAGACCGTGGTGTTTGTCTAGGATGTCACATTAAGCGAATTAGTGATTAAATTAAATTACAAGGAATATGATAAATGTATAAATGTGTTGCCAATTAACAATTAAATTTACTAGAATATTAATAATATAATAATTGGGCTTAATGTATCTTAATAGCAAAGAAGAATAGTAATGTTTCTTACGATTTCCTAATTGGCGAGTCTGATGTATCTTCCGTCTCTAGTAGCAGCCTTAAATAATAGTCTCCAATTCTCACTTCATCAGCCAAGCTCTGGTAAGTCAATTCAAACTCAGTATGATTCCAGGCAATCAAAGCTCCTGACGCTAGTTCTCTATCACTAGCAAATTGCCTGATCTCATTTTCTAAGGCATTCTTTAATTCCTCTCTTGTCTGTAATAAAAAGTAAAAATTGAAATATTCAAGAAAATTAACTTTATCAACAGTAAACTAAATTCGAACACTGTCAAGCAAAAATTAATAATAATGTACAAGCTGTTCATTAAATTTTGACCGGTTAATGCAGTAAAAACTAATAAAAAAAGTTCTTTTATTGATTTTCTCTTTAACTATTATTAACTATTAAATTTAAATGTAATCATAAAATGCAGAGATTACCAGGAAACTAATCGTCCTGTTGAAAAAATTATAGACCTATTATCAGATGAGATTGCTGTTATCATATTATAGTACCCAATCATAACTAGCTAATATGCCGATAAAGGAAACAGAATCATATCACTTGAAAATGTCTTGAAACAAATTTATCCAACTATCCTAATTATATTAAATATGTTAACTATTACCTTGTGATTCCAAATAAGATTTGGCAACGAGTGATCCTGTGAGAATTTCCAGTAAAACATGGGCCAATTTAATTGCGATTTTACTCGTTCTCTGCGCTTTCTCAGGACTATAGGACGTTCACGTAATTTTTCTTTTCTTTCAATTGCGATGCCAACTCTTGCTCCCCAATGCTGGAGAGCCAAGTTTGTGTAATGCTAAAAAAAAATATTTATTATAAATAATTCATTAGTCATGAATATTGCACATAAGATCCAAATAACATGAATGCGTATTTTTATTCACAACATTTGTGTTTATCATAAATATGAAAATTATTGTAGGGCCAATAAAATGAGTAAAGCCAAATTTAATTCAATTTTCAATTTTATATACAATTGTAAAATTAATTTTCAATAACGTTCCTTTTATGCAATCTTTGCATATTCCTATTTCATTCAAAAATTGGAAATTAAATTAAATCAACACTGCCTGTTGTTTTACCTCTAATCTCTTTTCAACAATCTTAAACTGTCTTTCAATAACTTCCCACTGTGCTCCTTTTCTATTTCTCATCGCATGATCTTGAACAATTTTCAAGTTGTCTCTATGATTCAACCTCTCTTCTTCTAGTGCAGATGAGGGTACACTATCAGTTGAGTCCAGGAATCTAAGAAGACCTGCAGGCTGAACCAATAAAGTGTGATGTATTAAATAGTACTTAATATATATATATATATATATATATATATATATATATATATATATTTTATAACAACTGAGCTACCACTTAATGCTAGTGTTTTTTTGTGAAAAGAGGTCAAAAAAAATAAGCAGGTTTTTTTAACTTTCCGTAGGGTTGTTATAGTAATGAGACAAAAATCGAAACGTTTTGGCGGTTTCTGAACATTTCGGAATACCTCAGTAAAAATGGATATGTGTGTGTTTTGTATGTCCGCATTTTTTCGTCCACGTTTTCGGGCGCACGGTTATTAAGATTCGAATGGTTCAAAAAACATTCGATTCCTATTGATAAGCAGATGTGCTGATTAGTTTTTGGCAAAGGCAGGTCCAGCCGTTACGGAGATACAGAACGAAAAGTGCAGAAAATAAAAATCCAGTTTGTGAGAGAACGTAGCATCGGATTTGAATGATCTAAAAAACATTCTATTCGTAATGATGGGTGGAAATAGTGATTAGTTTTTGGCAAAGGCAGGTCTAACCGTTTCGAAGATACGGATCTAAATGTACAAAAAATGGCAGATTTTGAGAGAACTAAGCATACGATTTGAATGATTCAAAAAACTTTCTGCTCGTTTTGACAAAATAATTGCCTTTGAAAACATTTTTTTTATTTCAAATTTTTTCTCCAATTTTTTTTTAAATTTTGGTTTTCTTTTTAATTTTAATTCTGGCTAAAGCTCTAAAGCTCACTTATATACTTTGAATAAATAATTTTAACTTTGTAATTTAGTTTATATAATTCTTATAAATATTAGACAATGTTGCTGTATTTATAATAATCTATCTGAAAAGATTTAATATTTCTCGACCATCGACGGTACGGGAAGTACCAGCAATTTGCCTTAAGGGGGTATTCTACTGTAGAGTCAAGAATTTCGCCCGGTTTTTGAAGCGCTGTATAAAGGAAACAAATAATATTTTTACTATCGATTTTTTCATCATTTGTTAATTGATATTTTATCATTACATCAAAAAATTATTAGAAAAAAAAAATTAAAATTCACAAAGTTATGAGCAGTCAAAGTGAAAGTTCCCAAAAAAAGAGGGTGTCCTGGCGTACATGATTCCAACCCTCCTGGTGATTTGAAACATAAAAAATAGATGGATTCTTAATTATAATAGATGCCGCTATCGTATGAACCTTGGATAAGTTAAAAAAATTGTTTTTGTTTGAATGGCGGCAGTTTGAAAAAAAAAAAAATTTTTTTCATGTTTTTTTACCAATTCCGTATTTTTTAAAACTACTAAATGAGAAGTTATAGTTTTGGGCAAGGTCCATACGATAAAGCGATGTATAGAGAAGATCCTCTCCAAATTTGAAGTAAATCAGTTCATTAGAACTCGCGATATCCTTACCGCCAGCTCGAAAAAAGTAGTTCCGAGAAAAACGTGTTCAAAGTTTTGAGACAAGTCGGACCCGAACCGAGGCCACGTCTCTAAAACGGCTATAACTCAGGAAATAATAGTAATTTTGAAAAATCCTTTCAATGACATATTTTTGAATAACTAAACTTTAAAAATATAAAAAAAAAAATTTTCGATTTTTTCAAAATTCTACAGTAGAATACCCCCTTAAGGCACGATGTCATATACCACTAGTTTATTAGATTGAGTTATTTTTCTTAAATCTGTAACGTTTTGCGTTAAAATGTTGTATTATTTAGAAGTTTTAACCATTGAAGCATCGTGCCTTAAGGCAAATTGCTGGAACTCCCCGTACCGTAATGAAATATTCAAGGAAACTTAAATGTATATATGCTTACAGAAAACTCAATCAATCAAATTTAAAATAAAAAACATTGTTTAATATTTATAAGAATTACATAAACTGAATAGCAAAGTTAAAATTATTCATTTGACGTATAAGTGATTTTTACAACTTTAGCCAGAGTTAAAATTAAAATCCAATTATTTTCGGTAAATAAAAAATATTTTTTGAAAAATTAAAAAAAAAAATTTTTTTAAAGCAATCGTTTCGTTAACACAAGCAGGAAGTTTTTTGAATCATTCTTGCTTAGTTCTCTCGAAAACTGCCATTTTTTGCACATTTCGCTCAGTATCTTCAAAACGAATGAACCTGCTTTTGTCAAAAACGAATCACCACTTATCCTCGTCATTATAAATTGAATGTTTTTTGGATCATTCAAATCAGATGTTTCGTTCTCTCAAAAACTTAATTTCTATTTTTTGCACTCTTTGCTCCGTATCTCCGCAACCGCTGGACCTGCCTCTTCCAAAAACTAATCAGCACATCTCCCTATCAATAGGAATCGAATTTTTTTTTTAACCATTCAAATCGGTTGATCCGTGCGCCCGAAAACGTGAACGAAAAAATGCGAACATACAACACACACATCCATTTTTTCTGAAGTATGCCAAAATGTTCAGAAACCTTCAAAACATGGATAAATGCAAAAATTTTCATTTTCGATTTTCGGCCCATTACTATAACTACCCTACGGGAAGTTAATAACGCAATTTTCAGCGTTTTCAAACTTTAACAAAGTAAAAGACGTAAAAAATGTGTATAGTTTGAAATAAAAAACAATTCATAATATTCTATTATATAAATTCTGAAGTTTTATACATTAAATTAAAATTGTTTGTTTAGATTTAGTTTAATTAAATATAAAGTAAAATATAAATCCTTGTATACAGATGTAAAACCAAAAACAACATGTTTAACATTAAAATAATTAAAAAAGTTTCGTAACTTGACTATATCTTTTAACTAAACTTTTATATCAGGTAAAGAAAAATTGCTTATTCTGTTAAGCTAAATTCTGATAAGTCTATTCTTATTTGTAACATTTTATATGTATATTAATGACCATAAATACAAATATTGACATTTATTTGAGCAACTAATAAATAATAAAATTTTAATGAAAAAAATATAAAATGTCTCTTCCTATTAATCAACTTTCAGAATTTTTAAATACTTTTGTTGAACACTAATTAATTTTAACGCTTACCAATATTCTCCTAAGCAAAGCCATCGCCACAGGATGTCCGGTTATCCACAACATGATGAGATGTCTAGAGAGTTGTCTCAATGTGAGCAGACGTCCATCCGTCGGTCTGGTGTACAATGCGGACAGCAAGTGACGTGGCAAAGCACCTTCTGCCAATGCTAGATTCTGCATTCGCATAGCCACTTCCATAGTTCCTTCTTCAATTAGAGCACGCATTACTAAACCAGCACCTTTAATCACAGCCATTGAAGGATGCTAGGAAATCAATAATAATTAAAAACAATATACAAGATACAAATAAGATATAAATAAGAAACAATGTAAATACCTGAAATAGTTTAAATAATGATCGACCTCTGCTAGCCACCATTTCGAGTAAAATATCAAAGTGTTTTCCATCAGTTGTTTCACAATAAGGTACACAAAGAGCAAAAGTCAATAAATCCAACATAGCAGTCACAACTAGAGCACCAGTACCTAAAGTCTGCCATATAAAATCATAACTAAACAAATTGATAAAAATAATACTTAAGTAGGCAGTAAATGTTTAAGCTAGTTTAATGAATAGAATAGAATTACATACAACATGATTTGTCCACATATCTAACAGACTTTCCAAAAACTGTTTAGTTTGTAACAATGATGATTTGTTGAGTTGTTCCTGTCTAAGGTCATAATTATCATGCATGGGATGCATTAAAGCGCAAATCATATCGATTGCAGCATGGGTCACTCCTGCATCGTTCCGTCTCAGAGCACCCACAACACACGAGCCAATAGCTTCACGGAAACTAAAAAAAATCGGTGAAAGAAATCTTCATAGAAAAGAATAATATATATATATATATATATATATATATATATATGTATATATAAAATAATAATAATAATAATAATTATTATTATTATTATGAAACAACTGAGTTAAACTCCAGCTGAGTTAAGAGATTTCAGTTGCTAATTAATACTTCTTAATATGTGTCTACATTTAATTATGACACACAATAAAACACACACACACACACACACACACACACATACACATACTGGAACAAGTAATCTTGCTAAAATATAACTAAAAAAATGCAATAATGTGCTACATGACACTACAAACTGATTTAGAAAAGATCAGTAATTAATTTTAATTTATTTTTACTGCTTATTACAGAAATTTCTACTATTCTCATTATTATAACACATGTAATAATTAATAATAAGGTCGTTAATAATAGTTTTTACTAGAAATTTAAACTCAAAGTAATCATAAATAGGTCTTGAGAATATACGTAAATTAATAAATTTTCCTTATATATATAATATAGTTTTATAAATTTTATGAATGTTAATAAAACTTTATACCATCCATATATAAAACACATTCATAAAACACAACATTCATATTACAAGACAGTTACAAGATTTTTACATCAATATCAAAGACAAAACAGACAACAAAAAAAACATTGTTTACAAAATCAATAGCTCAGACTGTGACTTCTTGCGTGTTGGATAGACTTGTCAAAAACTATAAAAAAAAATTTCAACAATCTTTTGCGTTTCTATCAAACATGTAAGTATGTTTGTAAACCAAGCCATCTCAAATAATTAGTTTTTGATTTCAAAAACAGGGCATAGGTAAAACGATACTAGTTCTTATAGTAATTACAGTAAATTTAAGCACAAACACAAATACTAAATTTTGTGTGACTCATACTTAAAACTCATAAATACGTTATAGTCAAATAAAATCTGGCTGTTAAAACTAAATAAGTTTTCAATTTTTATACATGTGCTAAAAATTATTTAAAGTTTTGACTTACTAAAAACATAAATTTCTACTTTCATAATAGTGAAATCTTGTTCTTTCAAGACAATCAACAATTGAAAAACAAATTTTCTCTACTAGTATGTGCCACATATTAGGGTTATATAATCTAAACAAAACAATGCTTAAAGAATTCATGACCATACGTAATTAATTTTATTTATATATATTTCCATTATGATCGGATAAATCATAGTCTCATAACATTTAATTCCTCAGTATTCATATTTTCGAAGAAGATTTCAAGAAAGTTTACTGAAGATATGATAGCTCAGAAGTGAATTTAAGGCTAGCAAAGTTTACAATAAACTTTTCTCCCCATATATTTTATATATCCACTTACAAGAAAATGAGGTTTACTCGTCTGAAAACTTGATAAAACTTTGCATGGGTCGAAACAAACCCCTCAACATTGTACAAGTTGTACCATTGTAACAGAAATATAATAAAATATATAATTAAAAAAGCATATATAAATATTAATATAAAGGAATATTTAAGTAGTATTACCTTGCAATTGAAGTAAATGCAGCAAATCCAACTTTACTTGCCACTAAGCGTCGCAAAGCGTGAAATAGAGCTTCTAATTCATAAGAACTAATAGAGTTTATCTCAGAATCATTCAGCACTAGTGACTGAAGAGCTGTTGTAATTAAATGTTCCTTATTTTCAGAAAACATGCCCTAAAAATCAAATTAAATAAAATTCAAAAGTCAGATGTGACGAGAATAAGAAAATATACTTACAGCTTGATTAACAGAATACACTAAACCACTGTAGGGTACATTAGCATTCAACCTTTCCAATGCTTCAGCTTTTTTATTACTATTTGCTGCTATGAGAAAACGTAAATGAATAGCTTCGACGTCTTCTTCTAAATGCACATGCAAAGGACCTAATCGTTTACCCCTTGGTGTATTTGTCATACGAACATGAACATCACGATTTCCTGAACCACGAACCCCATCCAATATCGATGCTAACAAAGCATCTCTAAAATATAATTAATAATCGTGATAACCCAAAATATACAAATTTTCTTTCCTACTTACCTATCAGTTGCCGTGTAAGTCCTTATAGCCCCATTGACATATTCAATAGAAAATAATTGTAAGTTGGTCTGATCTCTCACAAGAGCAAAAACATCAGACAATGGACGTAAAGTGACAACGTTATACGTTTGAGGATCTCGTTCCAATAAACATGTTTCTGTTAAGCATAGGTGTCGCCTTGGTTTTTCAATGTGCCTGGGACTGTGTTTTTGCACATTAAATTCAGACACGGAAGTTTGATGGTCATCACCACTAAAAAATAATAGAGAAAAAAGTACAAATTATGTAAAATTATAAAAATTGGAATGAATAAATAAATGGTACAGCATTATCAAACAGCAGTGAGTAGCATTCTGCCTTAAAGCAATTTGCATGAATTACCTGATATGTGTTAATAACCAACTTAATAAGAATTCCGATTCTGTTATTTAATAAAATGAAAATAAAATGTTCATTTTCAACAAAAACATTCCAAACATGCTCATAATATCTGTAATTGTATAAATAAAAATAATTTAACTTATTTAATTTCATTCTACTTCGTATTGCAAAATGTTTTTTAAGAGTGGACGTGAGCGGAATAAGTTCGGCTTAGATTCTAATTAGAATCTATTGCTTGCGGAAATATTCCAATCTTGGATGAATTTTTAAAATTCAACCATTTACCATAGGCTTATTAATATTTTAGCATGTTGGTTTTGTGTCTAAACTTTAGACCATGACTTCTATCTTCGAACAAACTTTTACCAAAATCGTCAAACAAATCTTTAACAATTAATTAATGAAAAAAAGAAATGGCCCAGCCAATATTTATCAAAATCTAATCAGCATCTTTCGATTGCTTTTAAAATTTTTAAAACAAGTAGAAGACTTTTTTGCAAAAACGTTGACGAAATTTTTTTCACTTCTGCAAATTTTAAAGAAACGGCTTGGCCGATCGTCTTACAAAACTAATCAATTTTTTTAAATTTTGAAATCGGTTCGGCCTTTGCTGAGAAAAAGTCGGCGAAAGGTCACATACGCACACACACATATCCTTTTTTTTTAAATTTGGGGTCAAACAATTCAGAATCACTTGAAACGCCGAGAAAATAAATTGAAAAAATCAAATTTTCTGCCAAAAACATAAATCTTTGGCTCCATACACATGTACACATATTTGATACGCAATGTTTGTGTCAAAGAATCGAGCATGACGTAAAACGTAATTTTTCCGATGCAGGAAAAATTGTTTCTTAAATACACAATAACAATACAAGCATAGCTGGGCATTAACTCGTTAATCCGTTAATCGTTAATTAACGAAGTTAACATTTTGATTAACGGATTAACTTTTAAGTTAACTTTTAAAAATGTTAACGGACACGTTAACTTCCGTTAAAATGCGAGAAGTCCGTTAATCGTTAATCCAATGCCTACTATTTACCGCACGGCACAGCTTTAGCCAATACCTTATTAAACGGCATAGAGAAAAGATTTGGACTACTCCTGAATGATGAACAGTGCCAACTTGCCGCGGAATCTCACCCAAAGTTTCGGTTAATGTGGCTGGAAACGTATGACAGCAGTAGAGAGGAATGCAGTAAGAAAATGCACGGAAAAAAGGTAGAAGATGCCTTATGGCAAGAAGCAGCGAAAAATTCGAAGGACAGAGATAGTTTAAGTGGCGGAGGGAGCAATGCGAGTAACAACGATGATGACGAGAAGGAAGACTTTTTCCATTCTGTCACTCAGTCTATAGAAAAACCAAAGAGCTTCAAACTCTTTAAAGAATAAAGCGCAAATTCTCGTTAAAATGTGGCTGGATATGAAATCAAAAGACTCGTTCAACGATGCTGCATTCCTCGGGATATTCATAAATCTATTTATTAAATACAATACTGCTATACCCTCAAGCGCTGCAGTTGAACGTTTGTTTTCCACGGGTAAAGACATTTTGACACCAAAACGAGCCTCGCTTTCAGACGAGAACTTCAACATGTTAATGTTCATGAAGGGGAATATGCACCTTATGCCCGACGCTTAACCCGTCGCGCGTTTCCTATTTTTCGCAAAAACTAGCTGTAAATGGAATTCTGTCTTAAGGCAATTAAGGCATCGTTCCTTAAGGCAAATTGCTGTTACTTTCCGTACCTAAAATTATTATTTTTTTAAAAACGATTAACATTTTTGAAAAAAATTTACTTCGAAAAAATAAGATTTTTGAGAAACTATAAACAAAAAAAATGTTTTCTTTATTTTGACATATTTTGACATATTTTGGAAGATCTGAATTTTTTTTCAAAGCAATTTTACTGCTTTAGGACTGCATAGAGACAAAATATAAAGCGCGTAAGCGCCGCGTCGCTGTCTAAAGGATAAACATTGGTACGGAACCCATAGGAATGTAAATAAAATTTATACTTATTGTTAAAATCTCTATAAAATATCTGATAATTTGATGTGCATATGTCTAATGATCATTTTGACCGCCAAATGGCATTTTTTTTTTACTTTTTTCATTAGATCTCCGAAACCGCTAGACCTGCCTTCATGAAAAATTGATCAGTTCTTAATAATTGTCAATACAAGTAAAATGTTTTTTGAATTATTAAAATCGGACGCTCCGTTCTCTTAAAAACTGAGTTACCGTTTTTGGCTCAATTTTGCCCCATATCTTCGGAACGGCTAGACTTGCCTTTGCCAAAAACTAATCAGCACATGTTATTATCAATACGAATCGAATGTTTTTTGAATTATTCAAATCGGTTGATCCGTGTTCCCGAAATCGTCGACAAAAATTTGTATCCGAATACACTACATACACACACACACACACATACATCCATTTTTTCTAAGGTATGCCAAAATATTCAGAAACCTTTGAAACGTCGAGAAATGCAAAAATTTTCATTTTCGATTTTTTTGCGATTACTATAACTTGCCCTACGGGAAGTTAAAAAAACTCTTTCTCTTTATTTAGAAAAAAATTCTTGTAAAAACAATATGCAATCATAAAAACGGAAAGTTGACCAATAGCGTTATCACGGTATGTGATAATTGTGCCATTTTCCTTATACACACGGAAGTGTGCATAAAACGCGCGAGGGGTTAAATTACACATTTGAATTATACAAGTATTTTGTTTTATTCATAACCTGTTAACTTCCAGAACCTAAACTAATAAGTTTTTCAAGTTCACTAACGCAACGATATAAAAATGTAATTTTACACATATTAACGGATTAACGATTAACGTTAACTTGCGTTAATTCTTCCGAAATGTAACGCTTTAACGTTTAACGAAGTTAACTTTTTTGTAGCGGATTAACGATTAACGAAGTTAACTATTTGATTAACGGTGCCCAGCTATGAATACAAGCAATAAGAGCAAATTTGGTGACCAGTTTATCCAAATATTCAAAATCTAAAAATTTCAGTATTTTATTAGCAAACCTTATATACATATTTTCTTTGTTAATATATTCAGTCAATTAAATTTTATTCTATTCAAATGAGATTTAAATATAAAACATAGTATTAATTTAAATAAAAAAAATGAATACCTATAATTTAAAATTATTTTATTCTCACCTAAATTTTCCAAATCTTTGTGCCTGCACTGTTTCCAATGTAATTGTATCTGATAAAACTTTAATGTTGATACCTACAAATTGTGCAGCATAATCCACTATTTTTTGTTTAATTTCATTAAAATTTGGTGCAGCAAATAAATGTAACCGACTAAAACCACCACAGGCAATAACAAAACCACCAGGATAATCACGGACACCTAAAAATGAAGAGTGGTAATTTTTCTTCTGTATCTAAGAAATATGCCTGCATTTGATATTTATAGAAATAAAAGCTAAATGTGTTACCTATTATTCCTTCTATTTCACGATAGTTGTAGCTAGCTAATATAATATTTGTTGCAGGGTCCAATTGATCCAGTGAACTATATGTAACTTCTAGTACGACAGGAAGTCTTGTATCAGACCAGTGATGTTTGTAAGCTTGATGTCTCTAAAATTACAAAAATATTAATTTAGTGAAATGAAAACAGAAAGTTACAGCTCCTTTGTTCAATTAAATAGAAATTGCTTATATATTTTCGTGAATGACCAACTAACTTAAAATTTTATTTGAAGTTTACATAAATAGTAAAATCAAATGTAATTATTCACTGGATTCTCATTTAGATATCTTTTTCTAACTTAATTAATAATTACACTCCTGTTGGCTCTCACTGTGTTCGTAGTCTCAAAACTATGAAAAAGGTATATCTATGAGATTCATACAAGCATTTATTAAAAATTTCTATACAAAGCGGCTCAAAAGTAATCTTCAAATAGCTATTTGCATGTATTATGATGTGAAAAATGTTCAAGTTATATACATGTTGTAATTGATTATAAAAATGCCACTGAGAATTCCTATCACATTTAAAACATTTTGAACAAGAATAAACTCACAAGTATCATAAAATACTCACTATAATTTCTTGGGGTTTTTCAGCAAATTGTGATCTAAACTTTAAAGCATCTGTCAGAATGTGTGCTCGATATTCCGATGAAAATCTCATAGTATCTACTTTTTTTTCCTTCCTAATAGTAAGAGTAAATTCCATACCAATATCCATGTGTTTGGTAGTTGGCTGTATGCATATGACATCGCTGTACAGCCATCTATTTGTTATCTCTAATTTATCAGGATTATATGTGGTGATTCCAGATGTACCCACTGCAAATATCCTTTTGTATTTTCCTTTCCACGAAGAATGCTTTGTTACTAAATAACTAGCAACATCAATATTATCTTTGATTGGCATCATATTAACATTTCCTGCAAAAATCAAAATTAAACTATTTAATAGATATAATTGAATAATGACACATAAACACAATAGATGCAATTGAATGCTATCATAATCAACAAGAATTGAATTTCAGCTAAATAGGTAAATGTTTCAACTGATATTTTAAAAATTAAATTTTCGTTTTCACTAATGAATCATCAATACGATTTCCAATTGTTGTCTTTCAAACATACTTATAATATCTGTAATTGCGTAAATTAAATTAATTTGTTTAACACATTATTCTATCACATCACAGGATTCTAAAAACGTTCTGATTAGAATCGCTTAAGCGAGCAATGAAATCCTGAACTTTGATGAATTTTTATAATTCATCAACATCAACTATTTTTTTTCTTTATAATTAATAGTCGGATAATTAGTATTAAAAGTGCGACTGAAGAAAGAAATATGTTCATAGAACATGGTTTTAAATTGTTTACGGTTGTTGCAATTATAAATACATATGTTGATTTATTCACATAGAGATATATTGAGAACTTTCCCCAATATAGCAACAATCACACTTTAATTCTCTAAAATTGTATCATTTGGCTTTGACTATTAATGAGATTATAACCAAAATTTTAATAGAACGAGAGTGGAACAAATGAAAATTGATATATCAATAATTGATGTATGAATAATTTTCATTCTACATAATAAAAACTAGTAATAATTCATGTCATCAATTTTTTGTCAAAAGCATTTATAATTCAATTAATATACCACCACTTAAACTGTTGTTCTGATGTGTTTGTTGCACAGGTGTAGACAATATATAGCAAGGATAAAACCAAATTGTTTTGTAACATAGAAATATAAGAAAAGAGGCATGTTTTAGCTTTGACAAAATTAGACATCATACAAAAAAAAAAAGATATAAATATATACATGGAGTGGGTGAGTTTGAGGAGATATCCGCTTTCTGAGAGAGTTTAGGTTACTAATTGGTTAAGGGTTTGAAGGTGGATATAGGAAATTAATTGGTTAATGTGTTTGAAGGTGAATATAGAAAATTAATTGGTTAATGTGTTTGAAGGTAGATGTAGAAAAGTCAGTATAGTAACAAATTGTAGGCCAGCGTTTTTAATAGGATTGACAATTTTCACTTTGGATCTTCCTTTATATTGGTCTATGTCTGCTCGACAAACATTTAGATATGAATATGATAAAAACAATTACTAAGTAAAATAAAGTCCAATTATAAAATATTCTTAAATATTTCTTTTTATAAGTGCTTTTGAAAAAAAAACATAGTGGTATACATTCATAAATTAATATTGCAGGTAAATATTTTTTTAGAAAAAAAAGATTAATGTTCTTTTTTAAAAATTCCATTCTTATGTAATCTTCTGTAAATTCTGTAATCATCAAATTATAAAATGATTTTATATTATATTTTTTTAAATTTGTTTGACAGAAAAACTGATAATTTAGTTCAGAAATGCAGTAATTACAGATCTACAAATTAAAGTTAAAGTGAGAGTATTGTTTTTTATTTATTACATTTTTTGCTCTCAAAAGAAACAAATCGATTTATTGATATATATATATATATATATATATATATATATATATATATATATATATATATGGTTAGTTTATCTGTATACTATAACTATTATTCAACTGATATGATATTCCGGACAAAAATATAGACGCGGCTCAAAAACTCAATTTTACACATATGCCGCTTTGATTTAACAGTGATGAAATATATATATATATATATAAAGTTTTTTAAAAATATTATTTATTACTTCTTTATTGTCAACATTTTAGAACAAGTATTCATATAGTAATTAATAGGATTCATACACACATGCTTTCCAAGTCAAGTGCTTTTCGGTTTATATTCAACTAGTTAGATTGGTTTCTAATCTTATCTCGCTAACATCCAAGAGAAAAAAATACTACTTCATAAAACAAACTTAAAAACAAATATTTCCAATAACATTCAGTAACAAGATTGTTTTATAAAAGTTAAAAGTTTTTTTTCAGTAATTTACGAAGTGTTAATGCATAATTAATCATGCTGGTAAATAATTTTATTTTCTCAATTCACACCCTTTCGACCAACTTTAGTTTAAAAAAATGTTTTTTCATTTTTACTGTAATATTTCTTTATAATTCTTTCATTTATAACTTTTATCATATATCATACTATACTCCTTTCATTTAACTGTTATAATATTTTTATTATTTATATTATGACCAGTTATTTACATATTTGCAACATATAAGTATTGTTTATTTATCTTCTAATCAAGATTATGTTTTCACAGATGTTCTGAAGATAGAATGTATATGATTCTGAAACGTTGACAAGAAATAATTTGTTAATAAACTTTTTAGTTTGTTATTACTATTAGGTTCCTTGTTCGAAGCTCAACACAACATACACAAATCCAAGACTTATGTTATATATATATATATATATATATATATATATATATATAATTGTTAATCGTAATAATTATCACAATCTATTATTACCATTTAGTAAATATTGTCAAATCTTTGAAGTTACACAAATTGTGTGAATGAAGGTTAGGTTAAAGTGGGAGTATTGAAACACCCATTTTAGTTTTAAAGAAATTTAATTATGGGTGGACTTACGTGTGAACTATCTTCTCAAAATTATCAAGTAGAATATTCAAATATTTATTTATCAATCTGATATTTTATATTATCGCACACAAGAATAAAACATTTATTCATTTTTATTTGCAAACACATTTGACCGTCAATTGACAGCTCTGCTTATTATCATCAAGCATTCCTTGGGCAAGATAAGATAGGATTAAAACCTTACTTAAACAAAGATGGCTCTACTAGTAGATAGGTTGTAGCGTACGCTTGACAGCGGACAGCTGACTGTTCAAGATGGAGAATAAATAGCGCATAGCGCAACACACAGGCAAAGCAGCACTGGCAACACTTATAATACGCAAGTGAAGTTAGGATATAACGGTCGCGATTAACATTGCACGAGGTCCTTGTATCTTGTTTGCTAATTTAAAACATATTGAATATAAATCTTATTAATATAAAATATATCCAATAAATTTAATCACGCATAATGTATTGGTATTTTTTTGAATAGCATATTGAATAGCTTATAGATCAGCCGTATCAAAATCAGACACATTCAAACTTATTTAGTCACCAATTACCGTTAAGAGTCACCACTTTTTTGAAAATTAACTAGATTGTAATATTTTATTAAATCAATAAATAATTATAAATATATAAATACATAACCAAACTAGTGGTGTATGGCAGTGTGCCTTAAGGCAAATTGCTGGAACTTCCCGTACCGTAACGAAATGATCGAGGAATATTAAATGTTTTCAAATAGATTATTCTAAATATTGTACATAGATAAACAAGTATAAAGCTTGATATTGTAACATTGTCTAATATTTATAAGTATTATATAAAATTGCAAAGTTGAAATTATTTGTTTAAAGTATATTAGAATTTTAGTCAGAATTAAAATTAAAATCCGAATTATTTTCGACATACAAAAAAAAATCTTTTTTTGAAATAAAAAGTTTTTGAAAAAAAATTGATACTTTTTTTTTTCTAAAAGTAATTATTTTGTTAAAACAATCAGAAAGTTCTTTGAATCATTCAAATCGGACGCTTAGTTTTCTCAAAAACTGCCATTTTTTGCACATTTAGCTATGTATCTTTGAAACGGCTGGACCTGCCTTTGCCAAAACTAATCACCTCATCTCCCAATCATTACAAATCGAATGTTTTTTAGATCATTCAAATCGGATACTCCGTTCTCTCAAAAATTTAATTTGTATTTTCCGCACTGTTTGTTCCGTATCTCCGTAAACGGCTGGACCTGCCCTTGCCAAATACTAATTAGCACATCTCCCTATCAATAGGAATCGAATGTTTTTTGAACCATTCGAATCAGTTGAATCGTGCGCTCGAAAACGTGGACGAAAAAATGCGGACATACAAAATACACACACACACACATCCATTTTTTCAGAGGTATGCCAAAATGTTCAGAAACCTTCAAAACGTAAAGATATGCAGAAACTTTTAAATTTTATAAACAAATATTGATTTTTGTAGATTCTCAACACAAGTCTGAAATCAAACAATCATCAATTGTAAATGTTCATATACAATGTAATTATTGAATAAATATATTTACTATTAATTTATACAGATGATACTTACAAACTATTTTCAAATAATATATTTTAACATTAGGTTTTAATATGCCCAATACAATTGTATTAATAATTGTATAATATAGTATACAGTTATTATTCCCATTTGTTTTTGTATACATATTTTTAACTTGATATTCTATACACTGAGTTTTATAATCAATGCATTCACAGTATTTTTCACAATATACATTTTAATATTACGCATTATTACCTATATTTAACATTACATACTATTAACTATATTTGGACCAGATTTTTTTTATTTTCATAAATATCTAGGTAATTGATATAATATGAACAATTGAATTTGCACAAGGTACATTGAGACATTTAAATTATCTACAAACATGGTTTTGAAAAATTTTTGCAAATTCGCATTGTATATAAGGGTGAGCAAAAATCTTTGGCACAGACATTTATATATTTGAAATATTTTTCGACACCATCTTTAAACATTGTATTTAGTATTAACAATAAAAATAATGAGGTAACATAGGATACGATCTTTAGATTCTTTAAGAACATCACTTGACGAACAACAATTTCTCGCAACGTATAAAAAAACATTTTAATTGATAAATTAAATTTTAATTAAAATACTTAAGTAAAATATTATAAAATTATTATATAATTAGAGAACAAAAAATTTAGCGTGTTAGTACATGTATAATATAACTTTCTTTTATACTATAGAAAAATCCATCCATATGATAAATATTGTCTCACGACACGTCGTATGTTTAAAATTATTATTTAACACATAGATTTTCA